GAATAATGGATGGAAACTGAACAAGGAGAGATTCAACCTGGAAATAAAGATAAACTTTCTGACAGTGAGAACCATCAACCGATGGAACAGAAGTTGAACAATGGATGGAAACTGAACAAGGAGAGATTCAACCTGGAAAAAAGGAGAAACTTTCTAACAGTGAGAACAATCAACCGATGGAACAGAAGTTGCCTTCAGAAGTTGTGGGAGCTTCATCCCTGGAGGCTTTCAAGAAGAGACTGGACTGCTCATCTGTCAGAAATTGCGTAGGGTCCCCTGCTTGGGCAGGGGGTTGGACTAGATGACCTACAAGGTCCCTTCCAACTCTGATTATCTATTATCTGCCCAAGGTTGGAAATCCCTGAACTAACTTATGAAAGGTGTAAAGTCTCCTGCTTGGGCAGGGGCGGTGGTGTTGGACTAGGTCCCTTCCAAGTCTTATTAATCTGTAAAGGTGAGTAGGAAACCTGGAATTGGCCTACCTAACGAGAAATTTTTGAAACCAACTTTTGCACTTTTGAAACAGAGATGGTTTAAAGTCCCGATTTAGCAGTCCAGCTTTCTATATACGTCCTCCGGGCTGGAGGTTTAGCACCCAGGACTAGAAACATGGGCTTTTAGGAAGCGACGGAGTACCCCAACCCTTCCTGAGGCCGCCTTGTTTGTCCCCCTCGAAAAAGGGGTTCACCCCGTGCTACTCTGGATTTCGATGGCCCGGCGTCTTCACCTCCACCCCCAAAGGCACGTAGGCTCGAAGTGAAGGAGGTCTCTTATTCTGAGCCGGAAAAAGGGGGCATCTCCCCTTTGAATAAAAAAAGCAGAAAATTCAACCAGGTTGGTTTTTTTTTTTTTTTTTGTGTGCTACCGATGAAAACTTGCTGGCCAAGGTAAAAAAAATAAAATAAATTGGCAGCTTCCAAAGGGCACTGGGGGGCTGCCAACGGAAAGGACAGGAAAAGCAGGATAAGGAAGAACTGAATCAGCTCCCCCAGGCGCCAAGCAGCCCCGAATGGAAACGCCACATTCTGGGGAGGAAGGAACCTCCAGTGATTAGATAAGCCAGGATAGTCGCTTGCTTGCACAAGCTCTCCATTGTGCGAGAGGGAAGAGAGAGAGAGAGAGAGAGAGAGAGAGGATACATACACACACACACACACACACACACACACACACACACGGGGG